AAAAAAAAGAACTGAGCTAAGGGGCAGGCCCCCCCAGAAGATAATTTTAAAAATAAATACATCAACTCTGACCAGCCCATTCCCACAGCCTTCGGGAATCATCCAGGGCAACCATTCAGCTTGCGGAAGCCCCAGGAGAGACACCACACCTCTACTCAAAAGGGCTCCACGCAGGTTGCTCCAGTGATCGCTGCGTCTGGGGGAGTCACCGCAGGTGCTGGCTAAGAGGGGCTTGGGACCCCCGCGGAATCACACAGAGCCAGGTGTGCTTTGTCCACGAATCCACTCACAAAGAGCTTTGAGGTTGACCATGGGGACCTTCAAAGTGGTTACCAACTGGACCTTCTGCCAAATTCCTAGAAATCTATTCCAACTGCAGTTTTTCAAACTTGAATTTAAATGCAGGACTTCTCTCTTTTTCCTAAAGAAATCCTTATGTGGAATTCCAACTTACCAACCAGTTGGAGAAATGTCCCCAATTAAAGTGGGGGGGCAAACCGAAATCTGTCCCTCACCGTCCCCTTCGCTTCTGTACCCCTCCCGAGACACCGAGGGACTGGGGCTTGGAGGGGAGATGACTTGTTCAAAGTCACTAGGCAAGGGCTTGAGAAAGAGAAGTGGCACCTAATGCAAGTTTAGGGAAAGAACACACACACACACACACACACACACACACACACATACAAACACACACACACATCTCATATTCAAGAGGAAAGTGTCTGATTAACAGGGCGCATGGCAGGGAAGTCAGAGAGGAAGAAACCAGCCCATGTCCACCAGCGCTGGACCTTCTCATGAATGGCATCGCCTTATAATTTCTCTCCTTGAGTGTGTGAACATCTTCACTAACTGAACAAAGAAACTGAATCACTGGGATAAGAAACAAGGAGAGGAGCGTTGTTCTTTGTTGGGAACACGACAGGAAAATAGAAAGACTTCCAGTGGGTTGCTCTTACAGGGCTGTGCCAAAAACAAAAAGAAGCGTAATAGCTCTAGGTTTACATAGTCTCTGGCTCCAAGGACTGCGGAAATCCATACCTGGCTACAAAACATCTGTTGCTGTAGGACCGAGAATAATGAACACGTTCACTGATGAAAAATTCTCCAGTCTCGAACTATTTAGCAGTTGGAAAATCAAATGGCTCGAGCATGGTTCAAATGTATCTGTCCAATCAGAACACACCCGACACCCAGTGTTCAAAGGGTCCAGCTGCCCGCTTTCAGGGCCACTTCCAGAGCAGCTGCCTCGGCGCCCAGGGGCACTAGAATGGCCCGGGTCGGCCTCTTAGAGGTGCCGACGGCTGCAACAGTGTGGATGAATCAACACAGCAGAGCAAGGGAAGGGAGACGGACTTGAAAGGCTACACACAGCAGGGTAAGAGCCGTATGGCATTCTGAAACGCAACTGTAGGAAACATCAGCGACTGCCCAGAACTGGGGACACAGACAGGGAGCCGGTTAGAAAGGGCCGAGCGGAACTTTCTGGAGTGATTCAAATATTCTTTATCTTGATTGTACTGGCAGTTACTTGCTTGTATGCATTTGTCCAAGTGCATAGAACTGCTCATCTCAAAGGCACAGTACATAAATTACACCTCAAAATGTCCTTTTTTAAAGAGAAAAAAATAAAAATGATACAGAGTTTCAAAACAAGATACAGGAAATTAGCAATGGTTGTTATACTGCCTATTAATACCTTCAAAGTAGTTGTTCCGCTTCTAAGATACAGGTATGCAAAGCTGATCAAACAACGTAAGCACAAACTGTTCTTTTTAATGAACTCATAGAAATGAATAGTATAATTAGCTAATATATATGTGTGTGTGTGTGTATATATACTTTTTCAAAAAGTATTTCTGAGGATCCAAAGAGCAATGGAGAGAAAGCCAGATTTTATCATTTTGCTAAGGAGTCCTAAGTTTCAGTAAATATCAGAAGTCAAAATAAAAATAAAATGCCTGCCACTACGCAGAGAACGGCATCACCGCCGTGCTCCCTGGTCACTTCTGTGCAGCTCATGTCCCGAGCTGGGGCAGGCTGCATTCCTGCACAGAGGACCAGGATCCAGGAAAGGGGCAAGAGGAAGGGCGCAGCAGCAACCACTCTGTGGGCAGCCGAGAGGCTGGGTGGCGGGCGGTCGCCCCACCGCCAGCCACCGCGGGCTCATCATCTGTCTGCTGAGTCAGGGGCTGTGGCTCCTGCGGGCGGGCATTTTGCCGGCCTCCTGCCAGCTCGGGCAGAGGATTCCTGGCTGGGGCAGATAACCAGCGGTGCTGAGAGCACTGGGGCACTGCGGAGGAAGCTGTACGGGGCGGGAAACTCTACCTAGGTCCACCGCCCGTCCCTCACACCGAGGTCTCCTTGTCCCAGCTATGGTCCCCGGAGACCTCTGCCACTCACCTTCACACTCTGGGGAGCTACTGCTGTGAGAGGAGGAAGGCAGACACTTCTCTAGGTGCCCAGCTCGCCCAGACCAGAGGTCAAAATAGGGCCAGCGTGCAGAGAGGCTGCAACGGCCAAACGCTGGTGCTGGCTGTATCGTAATACCTTCCAAGGCTTGTGCAACTCAGTGGTAAAGCCACACACACAAAAACACACACGCACAGGCACACACACAGACACACACACACACTGCCCTCCAGAATGTCTAGGTGGGAAACTTTCAGGAACTAATGCAAGGTTTTTGTTTTTATTGTTTGTTGTTTTTTGGGTGTTTGTTTTTTTGTGTTTCAGGAAAGGTCTTGCCGACTCGCCCATCTGACCTGAAACTTAGGAATCCTCCTGACTCAGCCTCACACCAGAGCTCACAGGCTGCGCCCCTGTGCCAAGCGACTGTCGGGGTTCTTAAACTGAGATGCTTCGACTTGTACGATTTCTCATGGCTTCTTCCTGAGACATTGATTCTGCTGCCCATCTGGCCGGTACTGGGCACAGAGCACTGCCCAAAACACAACTGCTCTTCTCAGGAAGACTGAAGTCTCTGTGGACCCCTTGTTCTTTATGGTCACCGTATTAGGGATTGAACTCACGGCCCTGCACTGAGCAACATTCTCAGCCGTGCTATTTTTGGCTAAGTTGCTAAACTGCTCTGACTGAACTCAAGCTTGCGTCCTACTGCCTCGGCCCCCGAAGCACTGAAGTCGCAGGCCTTCGTTAGCCCGGCCAGCCTGTGAGCATCCCTTACCTTCCTCTGGTCCCAGGGGCCAGAGCCAAGGTTTCCTCATGGGTGAAGCAAGTGTACACATCCCTTTCCTTCTCAGCCTTCTCTACAGATCCCTGCCAGGTGACAGAGCTGAGCCATGTCAAGCCACAAAAGAGGCACGGGGTACAGTAATGGGGCCCTCGCAGCAGGATGGGAAGAAAGACCTGTCAGTCTCCTGCGGGAAGCCTGCATCACCCTCATGCGTGAAGCAGCAGCAACAACATACCGCAGAGACCGTGGACAGCAAGAACAAGAACAGTCGTTACCATTTATTAATTATTTTGTGCCTTTATCTCATGTAATTAGCATAATTAGAGACATTGGGGTTTTTGTTTTGGGGGACTTTTTTTTTTTTTTTTTTTTTTACCTATTTGAGACAGGGTCTTGCTGTGCAGTTCAGGCTGGCCTTGGGCTCACTCTGTAGCTCAGGCTGCTCTCAAACTTGCAACAATTCTCCTGCTTCAGCCTCCAGAGTGCTTGGATTACAGATGTGCACCACCATGCCCTGCTGAGACAGTGTTTTCTATACTTTACAGAGGAGGAAACTGAAGATCAGTAGACCAGGTTAGGGACCTAAGGTCACACAGCCAATAAGAGGCAGTGAAGACTCAAACCGCATCCTACGAGCTTAAGTCACAGCTGTCCCTACCGGCACCACCAAGCCTCCCTCCATGTCTGTCTCCCTGAGCACACCAGCAGGCTTCAGTTTGACAGTTTACAGGATACCAACTAAGGAAGAACAAGCAATAAGCACCTCAGCTCAGAACCAGTTAGGTCACAGTAACCTAAGGTGACGCCTAAATATCAGGAAGCCACAAAACCCAATACATCCAAGATTAAGTTAAAAAGATCATTTTTGGCCCCACCCCCCAGGCACACTGAACAGGTGAACAAGTCCCAGAGTGGGGGTACACGCCTGTAATCCCAGAGTTTGGGAGGCTGAAAACAGGAGGATCGCTATGAGCCTGAGCTGCCTAGTGAGACCCTGTACTAAATACATAAATTTTTTAAAAAAAATTTTGTAGATCAAATAGGAAACTCGACGCTGTCCTCAGCCTTTCTTCTCCCAGTACCAAAAGCCACTAGGCTGGGCCAACCTGTCTGTCACCCACAGGCACCTACCAGCCCCTCTGTGTCCCCTCAACACTTTCATCACCGCTGTCCTGCTGTCACCCTATTCTGATCTGCCTCCATGTAGTTCTAGTGATACCCGCCACTCTGCCCTAAGACTGGGGTAGAAGAAGTACAACAGAAACCGCTCTGACAAGGGACTTGGGCTCAGCTGATGTGGCGCCCCGCGCTGGCTCCGACACTACCTCCTCGCTGCTCCTCACCACCCCTGAATAACCCCAGACACAAAAACAAATCTGAGAGCAGAAAACTCACAGGGTCTTCAGTGCGAACGTGAATGACACTGCAGTGAGCTCCTACACAGACGGCTGCGCTCCAGCGACCTGCATCAGCAGGCGATGCCCTGGGACTGGAGGGGAGCGCGGGAGACGCGCTACAGCAACACACCAGCTTCACCTTCCCGCACCAAGCCAAGCACCGTGCTAGGCACGGTCTCCTTCCTTCATCACTTGCTTCTACAACTTGAAGAAAATGTGGCTGCACGCCTACATGAATTTAGAAAGCTGGGTTTGTGAAAGAATTTGTAATAAAAAACAAAATGTTGTAAATATGTTACATATCTCAGAACAACTAAGAGAGAAGTTCCCTAACATCGTGGGAACCTATCCTGATTTGAACAGTACACGCAGTATAAGCATATATGTGTGTGCTCTCGCACTTTACATTGTAAGTGTGTACATTTAATCTGTGTTGGTTTAAAAGTTTAGAAGCAGCCGGGGAGACAGCTCAGCGGCATAAGCAACTGCCAAGGTCCGGAGTTCGATCCCCAGTGTCTACGTGAAAGCAGGTATATCCGCGGAGACAATGCCACGCCCTGTGGACCTCCCGTGCCGGCACCAAGAGCCAACAGCCCGCAGCTAAGGGCTTTCTCTTTAAGTTCCGTCCGGAAGGTGTGCCCCGCTTTGTGAGCACCCCGGGGCGTCCTGTGCAGGCGCCGCAGCCCCGCACACCTCCACCGGCTCCGGGGCTGTCCGGGGCTCCCCTCACCACGCCGGGGCGCGGGGCGGGAGACAAAGCCCGGGAAACACGCCAGCCGCGGCGCGCCGGGTGCGAGCTCCGTCCAGAGGCAGCAGCTTCGCGGCCACGCGGGGCACTGGAGGGGGCAGCACCTTCAGCCGGCTCCAAAACGCTCCCGCGGAAAACCGCTAAAGTTTAAACTCTTGGGGGAGCATCACAGCACCGAGGAGGGAGAAACGTGGGCGAAGCGGCGGCCGCGCGCACACCTGCACCCCAGCACCCCAGCACCCCAGCACTGCGCCGGCCGGGTCCCCGCGGCTCGGAGACGCCCAGGCCACCCGGGGCGGCGGGCGGTGCTCGGGGG